AATGAAAAATAAATACAAAATGAATAGTTTCCGTTCCGGTTGTGAGAAATCGGCGTCTCGTTTTGTCAGCTGATTTCTCGACTAGACGAAATGAAAGCTGGCATGAGGATCCTTGCGTAAGCACACGTAGGTATGAACAGGGATCGCCCAAACAATTTCAGACCACCTTTCAAAGAAAAATACTGTATAAATAGTATTTACAGATTCATAAAATTATATCAAGAATTCTAAGCTTTACAATTCAGCTGCTATTGAGAATAACCCACGGAAAAATCTCGGAAATCGAAACCGTGTGTTATAGTGTAAGAGTTCAATTTTGTAATTGAGCTGAAAAATGAAGCGTGTTAATTTGTTTATGATTATTTCTATTTATTGTTTTTATTACATCACAGCTGATCCAGGAAGGTGTATTTATTTTTTCCTTTGCAAATGTTCTTCAAAAAAAGGGATCTCTCAAATTAGTTCAACGTCGCATTTCTCGGCGGTTGAATATCAGTTTGCAAGAAAAGCACTTACAGTGAGACCCAAAATTCGGACACCTCGACATGAGGAAAATTCGACGTAGGGACATTTATTTTTTAATAGAAAGGGCGTAAAAAAGGCCTGAAATACGGACACTGACTTGACATGAGGACATTGCATGATAAAAGTGCCAATAAATTTCACAAAAATTTACTTTTATTTGGCTTGATTCGTTGTCATTTCTCCCATTATTTTCCCATCCATTCAGCTGATCAAAAAATTTACCTATTGCATGGAGGGACTTCCTTCTCTCTGTGTTACTTATTTATTTTTGTAGATGCCAACATTTCAATGTACATTTCAGAGATACACTATTCAATGCTCCAAATGTTCTTATTGACTTGAAAATATATTCACTGAATCAAATTCAATTGGCAAACAATTTTTATCACGGAATTCTGAAGAATATTTCTTCCATAAAACACCGATTAAAAATTATGTAATGTAAGTCTATGGGAAAACAAGACTCAACTTAGGGACAATTCAACTTAGGGACACTCTTGATGCACGGATTACATCTGCATCTGGGGATCTCACTGCATATTCTTTTAAAATTGACATAAAATGAAGATATTTATAATTGCGGTGATATAAGAAACTGCAGAGAAGGAAATTAAAAAATATTTCATTTGTATTTTTTCAAGACTTGCAAATACATGTCCTTTAATTTCTAACTCGTGGGGGAATTTCGTGTCAGTTAAATTTTGTAAAGACGCAGATATTTTAAAATTAATTTGAGCCAGGTCAAAGTACATTGAAAAAACCTCACTATAATTACTAAAAATCTAGAAAAAATTGACATACATTTTGAATTGATTTTCACTTTTTTAAATTGGGTTGAAGGTCTTCATTCAAAAAGATTAAAGTCTACTTCTTAAAGCAGCTGGAAATTTCAAGAAATAATATATATTTGAAAATTGATACAGAATATTCTAGGCCACCCTGCAACTTGTGTCTCACAGAATCGCCACGTGCTCGTTATCTCCAGAGGAAAGGCGGGTACAAAAGCGCGACACCGACACCGACACACGACAGCGACACCGACGACGTTGCTCTTCTCCGTCGTCAGTCGGCCGCGACACTTCCACCTCTGAGGCCAGACTGACCCCACGACTCAGAAAAAAGGTCAATCTTCCGTCTCAATTTCTCTGTCAAAAAAAAGAAAAAAGCGAAAAAAAACAAACGAAACAGAACGAAGTCTACTACTCCTAAAAGTGTCACTTGATCAAAGCTCCTCAATTCCCTGATCTGAGTACGAATCCACGAAAGAAAAAAAAAGTTTCAATCAGTCTCACGAAACGAAAAGTTTCAAGTTTCATTTCTGTGCCGAAAACTTTTTGACCTAGTGCCGCATATTTCTGGAGAAGTTCCGCCGGAAACCCCTTTTGTGAGACATTGCTGACAAGTCAACTCGGTGAGTAATCCACATTTTTTCCGCCCTGCTGATTTGTTTATGGCACTGGTGATTCAACTGTTGAAGTCATGTGCCAACATTTTTAGTGGTTTGCCCAGGGAGAGAAAAAATTAAAAACTTTAAAAAAAA